TCGGAGCCCCCGAGGCGGTCGGTGTGAGCTGCCGGCTCGGGGCTGGCAGAAAGCGGAACGCGAAACAGTTCTCAAACTTTATCTTCTGCTATTTTGGAGTGGCTATGTACAGCTGGAGTATTTTTAGGATTTCCTTACTTTTGGGGAGGTGGTCTTCTCTCAAATTACCCCAATATCTACCTCTTTGTTTGCTGAGTTCTGTTATCGGCGGAGACATGAAGATGGATGGTCTGGATCCTTGGCAGATATTTGATGTATGGCCTTCAGGCGCTCCAGGGCAGGGATTATGTGTTGATATATTGCTCAGTGTGTTGCTGACACTCTGTAAAATGACTCTGCTTCTTCCTCTCTGAGGTCTGCCCATCTTTTCTGTTCTCGGGCTGGTAGCTTGTCTTGCAAAGATATTATGTTCTTAGTTGCCACTCTGAATAGCAAGTAATAAAAATGAAAGATCTTTAGTAGAAATGTTAAGACCAGGACAGCTCAGGGTAAAGATCTCGGGCTTGCTGCTTCTTTTGTAGAAGCCTCCTTTAGGTTTGTGGGCTTAGAGGAGCTCATTCTCATTCTGGTGATAACTTGGCTAAAAGCAGAGAGGTCTGAAAGCTGCTTCTCTGACCCTGCGCTGGATTTGCTGAGTATCTGGGTTTATTCTGTATGTCTCGCTGCGTGGTTGGCGTAAAGCTGGAGAGCCGGGATGGGGCAGAGCGTTGCTTTCTCTGTCCAGCAGGCAAGAAGGGAGGGGGGCATGGTCCTGCCTGTGGCAGGGTGAAAAGGAGACTATTTCAAAGTGTCAGAGTGGCAGAGACGCGTGGTCTGATGTCTGTCGTGTTAAGAAAAGACTTTGCAATTAGTTCATCAATTCAGCTGTGAATTGGTTCCTGGGATTTTTTAGCTGCTGATATTTAGGGATCTCGTACTGTAAGCGTTATCAGACCACAGCTACAGGATGTTGGAAATAAAAAGCCATAAAAGTGTTACCTACTGCACAAGCACTGCAGTTAAGTAATATGAAATGATGTTTAATCTTGGGATGGAGGGACATATGGCACAAATAATTTCTCAGCACTAAAGCACGTGTTGTGGTTTGACTTTTAGTGCTGGAGGGGTGGTAAGCTTTTAGTTTGCTTTTTTTATGCCTAAGCAGGTGTGGCTGGGAACAGCAGGCAGGCTCCAATGATAGCATTTCATTTCCCTTTTTATCTCTGAGTCACAAACTTACAGTATTTAGTCTGCTGTCCCTTTTTTACCTTCTCAGCTGAGATGCATCTGAGTGAAATCTGTTCTACTGAAGTGACTGGAATTGGAGTTGTGCGAGTGTCAGGATTTCAGCCTTCGCTGGTGACTGCTGTTACTTTTCCTTTACTCTGTACTCTGCGTGCCACTGCTGCACCAGCAGGTCAGCAATGAAAGACTTTTTGGTGACCTACATAATTCTCCCCATGAAATGGGATGACTTCAGAATGGCTCCCTATGGTAAACTTTTTTCCTTGATTTGGCTAGGTCATCTTAAATAGCTCCAGCTAATAGCTAGTAGTTTTGAAAGCTCCCCCACCCCCCCCCCCCCCCCCCGCAGAGGTATTGCAATACAAAGGGAAGGTCGTTACAAGGGCTCTCATGTATACATAGAGAAGTATAGATCAAGTGAGTGACTAGCTGAGAGTTGCACAGAAAATCCAGTCAGAGGACTGGAAAGAAGCTGTGAGTCCTGACTCCCGGGCTCCTGTACTCCATTTCTGGTCGCTCTGCTTTCCAGCCCACTGTAACCTGTGCTTAAGCTACCAGAGATGCAAACCCTGCATTTGCTTTTCCCAAGGGGAGGAAGAGGCAGGAACTTCTGCGCTGTTTGAGACCTCCCCAGTGCAGTTATTAAGGGCAAAAAAGAAAAAAAGCCTGTTGCGTTTTCCTTACTTAAGGCATTTCATGCTTAAATTTGGTGCCGATGTTTGACAGCTCTTGCTTCTCCTCTGTGGCCAGACATGCTGTAGGTCTCATGTTTCGCTTCAAGAGCCCTGTAGCTTGGCTTATTTTGCTTGTAAAGCTGTTAAACTCTTGCACAGCAAATTTGCCCTTGGAGCCGCAAGACCCGCTGCCAGGCACAAAGTGCTCAGCAGTGTGACTTGTCGGCTGCAGCCAACCCCAAAGCGCAGGCTGTCATATGCCTTTTATAGGCTAAATTTATTTGTGAGAGAAGCCTTGTTGCCTTGTGTGCTTATGAACGGCTCCGGTGTCAGCGTGTGCTGCGCAGACCGGGAGTAATGTGCTGGAGCCTGTGTCAGCCCGTGCAGGACCCCTGCATTGCCCTCCTTTGCCGGAATACAGGAATCTCGTGCAGCCGGAGGCAGCAACATTTGGTCCAGCAGAATCTGCCAAGGTGAGGGTGCGATCTGCCAAGCCAAACAGGATTTTGTTGTTGATCTGTTTGTGAGAAGGGGAAGGGCATTTCTAAGGGAGGTGAGCAGCCGGTGTTAATTTGAGATGCTGCTGGCTGGAACTGGTCAGGCTTTTGTGAAGAGGCTCCTGGGGTGATTTCAGGAGTTGGCTCCCCAGCACGTTTGTGAGATCTCGTGTAGCTGAGAAGTGCTGGCATTGACTGGGAGAGCAGCCAGGGGCTGTGCGAACAGACTCGGTAGCTGTAGCAAAGATTTTTAGTGGCGACAGTTGATGTGTGGGAAAAGAAAATGTATGTGTGCTTAATAAATATTGGCACTCAGCAAGAGCTTATCAGCTAATTCAGTGCTGCAGCTTCTGGAGAGCTGGGTTGTCTCTGCCACCTTGGAAAGAATTCCTTCAGATCAGGGGATAAATAGAAAATTAATATGAAAAATACATTTTTTTGAATGGTGCTAATTTAATGCTGACTTAGCTGTAGGGACAGTTCCTGCCTGCCTACCCAAGCTCGTGCAAGAGGCAGCAGCAATACCTGCTTCTCCTCACAACCCAGGCCCCATGGACTGTGTGTGCAGATGTTGTCCCACACAGAAGAGGGCCGAGAATAGAGCAAATCCTGCAGATTTGGTCTTTTTCTTACTTGCTGGTTTCTGTTGTATGAACTCCTGTCTTCTGGGAAGGAGCGGCACATTCACAAGCCGTGTTTCAGAGACTTTTAGGGTTGTACAAGTAGACTAGGTGACCTTCAGATGTACAGTCCATCACCTGGCCCCAGCTGGGACCGACTGCCACTGTTTCTGTGGCCTGTCTTTGAAGCCGCGCAGTGATGGAAAAGGCCTCTTCAGGTTGCCCTATTCTGGTACACCTGCTGTTAGAATGACTGAACTAGATATTCCTTGCCACAGTTCAATTGCTCTACGACTTCTCCCGCCCTCCATAGACAGCTCTTCCTTTTTTTGGCAGTGACAATTCACATGTATGAAGACTTTTAATACATTTCCCTTTCTTTAATCTTCCCTTGGCAATCTCTTTCCGTGCCCCAGATCACTCTTGTCACTATCCCTGAAACTGTCCAGTGACTTGCATCTGTTTTTCTTTAATGCTGCAACCAAAGCTACACAGAATTCCCTAGCCTGTGGCAATGGTGAAAGGATTAATTTGAGTCCTGCTGATGATATTTATATATCCCAGTATATTTAGCTATTTGTTTGCAGCATCGTAGTGGACCCTTTTAGGTTTCTGATGCATAGCTCTTCTGCAAGACAAATGCAACAGACTAAATTTCTATGCTGGCAGGACATCATATTCTTCACCTCCTGTCTTTTTTTTTGTTGTTGTTGTTGTTTCCTCTTCCCAACCTGCATGTGCGTACCTGCAGCGCCGTCCACCTGCACATCAAGGCAGTGCTGAAACAACAGGTGTTCTGCAGGATCAAAGTGATATTTCCCTTTAAATTCCTCCTGCTTTCCAGGGAGCAGCTTTTGATCTTTTACCTGTTGCTTTGTCCTTTCTCTGCTAGGTAAAAGCTAATTAAATGTTGCCTCTGTTGGCAGAGAAGTCCTGCACCTCTGCCTGCATTCCTGAGAGCCCCTGGAGAGCTGCAGTAAGACATCACACAAGCTCTTCTTTCATACGTGCATCTCCATCTGCTGTCCTTAGTAGGAAAAGCTCGCTCGTATTTTCTGAGGAAGCATTCCCTGGTCAACAGCCGCAGCCACCTGATACCACCTTCCTCCTTTGCGTATGCAGGTTTTGCGCTTTTAGAGTTCTGATGAAATAGCTGACAGAGCTGAAGGTCTGGATATCCAGGCTGGTTTCGGTCTTGACAGCAACGGAACATAGCTGAGCAGACCCTGCTGCCTACAAAACGTTGTGGTAACAGATGACGCTCTCCAGATGTGCCAGAGGCTGAGGCTCTACAGGTTGCTCCGCATCACTGCTTCGGACTCCCTCAACGCTTTGTTGAAATGGTGTTGTAACTTGGTGGTGGGAAGGAGAAGTTGCAGCAGAGTTTACTGTCTGTATTCTTGCAGGGTGCAATGAGAGGAAAGGTGACTTGCTCTTTAAATATGGTTGAGGCAAATTACTTTCTCCAAGATATAACCCAGAGCCTAAAACAGTACTGTGTTTTTTGGCAATCTGGACAAGAGCAAGCATATGGTTCCTCTGGTGTTTGGTTTTTTGGGCTGAGACGTGAAGATATGCATTGTGTTTGGTGCTAGAAGGAGACACGGGTGCAAAGGACTTGCAAAGTAATTCCCTTATCCTAAAGACTTGCTGGGCACAGTACGTAGCAGGGTTGAGGCTTCTCCATCAAGTTCCAGCAAAGCCTGAAATGCAGAAACTGCTTATGCTGTGATTCAAGCTGAGAAATCTAGCGATTGCCAGTTAAACCAATAGTTTGTCTTTTAATGAAGGCTCTGTCAACTACTTGGCAGTCTCATTTGAAATCTTCTGTATGTACAAATCTGTCAGAATCAGGACAGCTATTTTCCTTCCCTGCAGCTTTCACTCCGCTCTTCAGGAAGCACTGGTTTCTGTTTGCCCTCTCCGCCTTCTCGCTTCCTCGTTTGTCTGGAGATACCGTTAAAACTGTGTTTAAAGAAATCAGAGCTATTCAATGTTTGACGATGCTTGCTTTAGGCCCCCTAAATGTTTCCTGCATACAGTGCCCCTGATAGTACAAGTCAGGGCCTGTCTGCTTTGTTTTTTATTTCTGGCTACCCTGTTGCGTGCTCTGCGGACCGTGGTGTGGGTCTTATCATGAGGAACACGCTGAGCTGATCTCTCCACGTGCTGCCCCTGGACCTGGCACCATGGCAATGCGTGGTGCGTGCTAGGTCGGACTGGCCTGTTCACGAGCAACTAAGGCCGTGTAAATACAAAGGAACAAAAGTAGATGTTTCCTCTCCTTGTGTACTTTCAGCAGAACAGAAACTGCCGTGCCTCTGATGGTCTGCTTCCCAGCTAGGGATGGCAGCAGCAGGTAGTGCCTGCTCTGCGTTGAATTGTGTTGGGCTAACTGTGGGATTGCTTCGTGCAAGACCCACCTGCTGTTTCAACGCATCAAGTCGTCTTCCTGATCTGTCTGCTAAATAGTTTATAGCTTGGGTGACCTCTCTGGATTCACTGTAGAGCTCCTCGCCAACAGCCCCGATGAGCAGCACGTCTCATTTGAGTACAGAGCTTGCTTGGTGATTAGTTGGGGATCATACTCCACAGTTAACTAAAGTTACCTATTGATAGATGAAATGTTTGCCTTGAATTGGCATACCATACACTGCTATTGGAGTCTGCCCGTTCTGTTGAACGTGGCTCTCTTGCCACTTATCTCTGAAAAAGCTCTATTTAACCATCACTGCTCAAAAAAGAAAAAAAAATCCCAACCCAAAAACCTCAAACGCACAGCAGGAATATGCCAAAAATTGGTAAGCACAAGATGAACTTGTTTTGATTAATGTTTTTCTGGAGATCAGTGGTTACTGTGGATGAAGCAGCAGCCCCTTGTTTAATGTCATGGTCTCAGCAGTTTTTCTGCACTGAAGGAATCCTCCAGGGTCTACTCTGACTCTCTTTGACATCCCCAGGACGGTGATACATCGGGCAGCTCTGCATCGCTGAGCTATTCCCTTAATGGGCAATTTTCAGTGACAAGCATTACTTTTCTGTTTCCTCCCCACAGTAACTATTAAAATGTTGGGTTTTGCTGCCTTCATATTTCTTCGTTGCAGAGAAAAACATCCCAGGATTCTGTACTTCGGCATCTTTAAAACGTAGAGGTGATGTTAAAGATCCAGAGTTTTTAGAGGCTCTTGCTTGAGTTGTAGGATTGATGCAGCAGTTGATGGGAGACCTCTTCCTTCTCAGACAGTGGTAGGCACGTGCTGTGCTGTTGTTATATTTATTCTAACACTATTCTTTCCTCCTTCTTGGCAGATCTTCTGAATTTGGCTCCTGATTAAAGCTGACAGATAATGGAAACATTTCCTTGGCGATGTCTCTGGGGCGACTCCTCCGACGTGCCTCTTCAAAAGCTTCCGACCTCCTGACCTTGAATCCTGGTGGTGGCAGCAGTTCATCTTCCATACTTGATGGGGAGATTATCTACTCTAAGAACAATGTCTGTGTCCATCCACCTGAGCTGCTACAAGGCATCGGGGAGCATCATCCAGGTGATAGGGTGTTGCAGACACTGCTCGCTCATTCTTTTTCTTTCTCCTGGGGTTTGTGCTTGTATCAAATTCTACATCTCGGGCTCTAAAGAATGAAGAGGTGCCAGTGGGGGACAGGGCAAGGCAGTCTTAGGGGAGACTAAGGAAAGCCATCCACAAGCTGATCCAACAGCTCTTCTTTTAGTAGGAAAATTGATGATATTTCTCCTTTCTAGCATGGATTTACCTGTTTTAGTAAGTCCTTTTGTATTGCCAGAAGATGGACAGTTGTCATTTGAGGACAGTAACTTCTGTTACTCTTTGGAATATGCGTATTGTTCAGGAAAGCCAAGTATCATCTTGTAACTGTCATTGCTGGAGTGGCCTTAACAACCATTGGTAAAGGGAAAAGAAAGAAAACCTGATTGTGGCTGCATGCACTGCAGTAAATGAAGATAAAGAACTGCCCTGTGCCTTTATTCTCATCTGTTACTGCGCTCTGTCATGTTTTCATCAGAGAGCTGTGGCTACTGGCTTAGCTTCACAAAACTAATTATTCTGTGAACATTGACCCACGCTTCCCTTTTTGTGTGTGTGACTCTTTTTTTTTTTTTTTTTCTATTGGCTTTCCATGAAAGTTGTAGCCCTTTAGCTACACTAAGGTAAATATTCTCGAGAAAGAAATGTTTAGCTGTCACTTGAAATTGTTTAACTAACAAACAGTAGAAGTTTTTCATGAAGCAACATATTTCAGAATTTACTCTTGATTAGTAATCTGTCCAGGAAGTAGAAGTAATTGCATGTCATTTCTATGTCCACTTAGGCCAGAGGGAATTTAGACTGTTCAAAAGCCATATGCAGACTTGAAACTGTTTGTAAATACTGAATAAAGTTGAGCACTCCACAATTCATTTGGCAGAATTCTTTCCTGGTAAATAAAAGGGTTTGTTTTGCCCATGTGTAATGGTGGTGAAGTGGGAGGAGACGGGGAAGGGCAAATTTCAGGCTTATGCGGTTTTCTTAGAATAAATCTGTGTCATAACTGATTGCTCCTTTGCTCTCTCGAAGGCTATTTGTGCTTGTACATGGAGAAAGATGAGCTGCTCGGAACCACGCTTATCCTTGCCTGGGTGCCAAACTCCCGCATTCAGAGGCAGGATGAAGAAGCCCTGCGCTATATCACTCCTGAGAGCTCCCCTGTCCGTAAAGCTCCCCGCAAACGCGGCCGCCACACTCAGGGTTTCGGCATTGTCCGGCAGGCTTCCCCCACCGAGCAGAGAGGGGCAGTGGTCCTGAAAGGAGAAGACATCCTGACTGTGTCACAGCTTGTGAAAGATGTGGCTTACATCAGCTCCCCCTCTTCGGAAGGGGAGAAGCTCTCCCAGTGCTGCCCCGCAGCAGATGGCACCCGCCGGTCCCCCCAGCCTGCCCGCAGTGACTCAGGAATCCTATCGACAATCAGTTCTCAGGAGGAGCAGAACAGGTCGGAGCCGTCGGTGGAAGGGACGGAGGAAGGTCTGGACTGCAGACCAGAGCCAGGGGAGGACGAGGGCTCTTTGGAGCTGTCTGCTGATGACGTGAGCAGGGACAGTACTTTTGACTCTGATTCTGATGCCTTCTCTTCCCCCTTCTGCCTCTCTCCCATTAGTGAAGCTCTTGGGAAAAGCAGCAGTTCTGTGTTTCTGGATAATGAAAGCAGGTGAGTGCATCCTTTTCTCTAGTTTCTGGGTGAATAGCTGGGATGCTGGTTGCTGAGCTTGGAGGTGCTGAAGGAAACTGGGAAGCATCACAGTGACATTGAGCTGAATATCCCGTCTTGCTTCAGACACCTGTATAATTCACAGGAAATTGTTTGCTGGCCAGTCCTGCTTCTGCTCAGTGAACCCTGGCCCCGAGCATTCAAGGCTGTATATGTACAGTCTTTCAGGTGAACTGTCTTGAGCCCTGGAAGCAGCATTACTAAATTAAAAAGGTCCTTTGTTGGTCTAATTGGCTCTGCTGAGGAGATGTGCTAGTTACTTCTTGTGGAGAGCCACATCAAAGCGTCTGTCTGACTTCCTCTGAGCCGTGAGGGCCTCTCTGCAAGGCACCGTGTTGACATAAAGCCTGCGTGTATGAGCTTGTTTTGCTGGTGTTCAGAACGTGGTCCCACTTACGACATATAAATATTAATTCTTAAATGTCTAACCTGGATATTTTAGTCAACGCTGGTATATCTAAATGTCAGCGCTTCTCAATGGCATCTGCAGTAAACTCTACATAGAGGAAAGAGGGCACCTTGGCAAAGGAATGACGAACAGTAGGTTACCTATATAACTCCCTGTATTGATACGCAGTGTTTCTGGCTTTCTGGTCTGTGCTCTGTGCAGTGTATCACTCATTTCCATCTTGGGGAGGATGGGCGTGCTGCCTTCACGAAGCACCGTGGGGCTGATTTTAAGGATATAGCTCAACTTTGAAACTACGCCTGAAATTAGGGAAAACGAGTTCTCCTTTGTGCGTGTCAGCAATGTACAGACTACATTAAGACTTGACATTTGAAGAGATTGTGTCTCTTTATTTTATGGGCTAATCCCAAGCCCAGAGAATGCCAGTAAGGAACACTGTTTATGAAGGAAGTATTCTAATTGCTTCAACTCTCTCTGGATATTTTAAAACACTTCAGTGTGGTGATCTCAGACTTTGTATCAGCTTTGCATTTGAGATGTGTCGTAGCAGTATGCTTCTAATTAACTGCGAGCCCACAGGGTTTTCTGAGCTTGAGCTCTGCAGGAGCTGGGTGGGCAGCGGTTTGAGCAGCGCCTCGACCCGGCCAGCACGGCTGTCCCGTCCCGTCCCATCCCATCCTGTCCCATCCCGTCCCATCCCACCGCAGCTCTCCTCTGGCTGCAGAGGGGCATTGCGAAGCAGCTGCGGGGTGCCCAGGATGGGCCTTTGGTTTCCAAATTGTGTTGAACAACGTCAGTTTGACAGTGTCTCTTTTAGCTCTCTAAATATGATGCCTGACAGTCTTTTTTGACAAGTATTCATAGGAATGTAGAAGACTTTGGAAACTACATAAATGTCACGAAACGCACCTTGAAAAATTTTTACAGAGAGGCCTTCGAATTACTAAATATCATTCCTAATAACTGACTTTATTTTGTTGGTTCCTAGGCTTTTTGTCCCATTCAGATTGTGTTCTAGCACTGGGCTACTGCTTGGGGGTTGAAACTTTAGTTGCATCCACTTTCAGAGAAAGTCATGCTGGTTTAGAAGTTTCTTGGCCCTGACTTAAAAAACAGAAAACCCCCAAATCCACTGCCACCAAAGCCTCTGTTTGTTTAAAGTGTGTAAATTATTTTTCCTTGAAGCAGCACTGACAATCTGTGTGTTTGACCTGTCTCTATCACTCTGAAAAAAGTGAAGTTTTGGGGGGTTGGGGGGGGGGGGGGGGGGGGTGTTTAAGCTTTTTTTTTGTAAATAAAGTATAATTAAAATGCTTCTGTGAACATTTCTGAGTTCCAACGGTAAGATTCTTAAAGGAAAAACATTCCTGTCTTTTAGTGTGTGTGGGGGGAAGCTGTGGCCTCAGCTGTGGCCCAGTTCCCGCACACCCTGAGTAAGGGGTCATTATCCCCGCTTTAGTGGTTAGCAGCGGCAGTAGCGAGGGACATGTTCAGAATAATGTCCTAGCTGCTGAAAACCAGGAGATTGGACTCATCCTGAGGAAATCCCAGTCCTTGACCTGGGCCACAAGGCCATGTGCTGTCCAAGGCGTGCAGCAGTCTCGGAGAGCTTTTGCACCCGACGGCGTGCACCAGGAGAGGAGCTGGTGCAGAAGGGTGCCGGCACAGCGCCTGGGGGCACGGCAAGTGGGCAAAGGAGCATTGCGGTTTAACTGTTTTGCAACACTTAGGCTCTGAGCTGCTAATAGTGTCAGGGAAGGAAGGAAATACAGTTTATTGCATCTTTACTACCTTGCCTGTGAATTCACGCAGCATTTCCCTGTTGTTTCGCAGCCTGGCTCGGGCGAGCCCTCTGCCGGCTTTCCTCGCGTGCTGCCGGAGTCCTGACAGCTCCAGCAACGCAGGGGCTGGCTTTGCAAACGCACTGCTCGTGGTCCTGGTAGACTTTTTCTTTTCTTTTCTTTTCTTCTCTTTTCTTTCTTTTTTTTTTTTTAACTCCTCTGGCACCAGTCTGGAAGCCTCATACAGTGTATGCGGCACTCATAATTTGCAGCAGATTAATAAAACAGACCTTTCATTGTTTGGGACTTCAGACTTGAAAGGCTTTTGTCCAGTGTGTCCATTTTTTATGCCAATTCATTCTTCCCCATAGAGCCCCTTTGCATGATATCTGCAGGATCTTACAAACTATTTGAGTCGGCGATTTTGCATAGAATACTTTGCAAAAGTCTTGTCAAAAAGCGTTCTCTTATTCCCTGTGTTCATCCCAGCGTTTTGGGGGGTGGGGGATGCTCTTTCAGAAGTCACTACAAGCATGAGAACGGCTTCCTTGTTTCTTAAGGGTTTTTTTTTTCTGCTGGCTGCTTCCCATCTGAGCCGGAATTGGAGTGCGAACAAAGTTTGTGCTGCTGCTGGCAGATTGTTTCAACTCTTTTCCCTCCCTACCCCCCGGTCACCACCTCCTCCCTGCAAAGAGGAACGAATGTTTCTGGTTATTTCCCTCTGCATTGGGGAGTTGTTGTAAAGAGAACTCTGCTTTTCCCCGTGATTGTTTCAGAAGCTGAAGCAATGCATTGCATGGGTGTTTCAGTCCAGCCATCTTTCTTTCTGTGTAATTAGATATAGTCAGAAATGGAAAAATGTGACATTGTGGAAGAATTAGGCCGTACACGTAGACTTGGATCAGATAAGATCAGGGTGGGCAACTTACATGGCTCAGCAAGCTGCTTGCCAGAATATCCGTATGATCAGGAGCCACAAGTCCCGTATGCCTCTTGGAGCACCCTCTGAGAAGGTGGCCTGGCCTCCCGGGCAGAAGGGAGCCAACAAACACATACCGGTGCGTGCAGAACAGTGACAGGGAGGAAGAAGGGAGGTAGGCTTGGAAGCGTTTGAGTTGCACAACGAGTCAGTCATTTTAAGTCAACAACTCGCCTTGTAGAACATAAGGAAATAAAACCGTATCCATTGTTTTTTGGTTGGTTTTTTTTTTTTCCTCTTTGCTTCTCAGTTTGACAGGCTGCCAGGGATCCCATGCAGCGGTCGATGCTTTCCTCCCATTTACACAATTCCTCAGGCTAGGAGCTATGGGAGTGTCCCATCACCAGTGTACACATTCTTGCTTCTCTTTTTAGATGAGCCTGGCACTGCTTCTGCATAGTGCACTCATCTCTCGTGGAAAGGTGGTTTTACTCTCTTGGGTTTTGTGTCCTAGTTAACTTTGGGGGCCCCTTTCTGCTCCCTTTCTCACGTGGTTCCTGCAGGGAGGTAGCTAATGTGGGAAATGCCTGTATTGATAGTGGCTTTGTCATTGACTGCATTTCTGTAGGAAAGGAGGGATACTGGAAATAAAATCGTTCCATCCTGTTCCTTTTCTCCCCTGTCGTCGTCGTTTGCTGTCTGTCAGGGAACATTTGCCTTGTGGTCTGAAGGGCACTGATTCAGGACAACTGTACTCTACACCCAGCTTTGGCTTGTTGCTGCCCTGCTAAATTACCCAGCTTCCATTTTCCCCATCAGTAAAGTGAAACTAAAAGCTTTTTGTTACTTCCTGGCAACCAAATAGCATCTGACACCTATATAATGTCTTTCAACCAATGCTTCTGAAGTTATTTTAACTGACCATGACATCAGATCTATACCCATCGGTTGCAGAAGCACTTAGTGCTCTGTAAGTGGGGTCGTTGGGGTTTTTTTGTGCCGTGCCAGAGTGATCCCTGGTTACAGGAGCTTTCCCTAGCAATGGGTGGCAGGGCTGCTAAAGGCTTTTCACTTCGATAATAAACTGCAGTTGCTGTTACCCGACGAGCACCATATAAAAACGCTGAAGAGGACAAATAAATGCTGGCATTGGTTCCTTCACTGACTTCAGGTTGGGATGTTGGTCGATACAGTCAGAATTTGGACCGAGAAGCCTCGGTGGTGGAACTGTACGAGTGGAGCTTGGGGCAACATCTGGCCAGAGGCTGGAGCTCTGCGAAGAGTCCTGGAGGTGATGGAATAGACGCCAGCTCACGCTTCCACAGCATTTGCTTTAAAGGACGAGCAGAAGCGATGTGACCGATGTGGTCATGGATACCAATGCAAGAAGGAAACGTCTTTCGTAAGAAGGTGGTAATTTTAGCAACCGGTACTAAAAATAATGAAACATTTTCATAACGGAGCTAAACGATGGTACAGTTCTCATGTTCTTCAGCAGACGTGAATTCACATAACAGAACTATTGGCAGACTGTCTAGGCAAAGCACACAACACAAGGAAAAACTCCTTTGGCGTCGCAGTTGATGCAATTTTTACAGATGTGTTGCACATCCTGTTGTTAAGCCTCTTCCCAGGGAGCTAATCAGTAAATTACCTTCTCATGAGGGAGCGGAGGCGCAGCGTTACGGAGGGTGGCAGCAGCTGCAGGAGCGGGTGGTAACAGAGCGTATGGTGTTGCATCATGTTGTTTTGGCAGCTCACCTGAAAGGCTTAGTGCTGTTCAGACCTCTGCAGAATAAACAGGAGGCAAAATTATAGGGGAAATGAGCTG